TACCTTATAGAAGACCATATTTAAGAGCTTAATATTTTGTTTTGCTGGAAATTTCAGTGGGATTTTATGATGCTTCCAGGACACTATTCTTATCACTGGCTGACCTTGCTCTTCGTCTAGTTTTAAATTGTTGAAAAGACCTTTGAGAGCCACAGTCGAAAGTTCAAAATAGCAGTAGTTATGCTTCTGTCTGTTTTTCTGGGCATATCTACATCTATATTTTCTTCTCAATGAAAAATAAATGCATGATCATTCAAAAATTTGGCAGGATTCAACTTAAGGTTCAGTCTGAATTCATCCCTGACACTAAGTACTTGTTACACTATTTAAAGCAGATTTTCACCTGCTTCCGTGAGGTAAAGTTTGTCCCCATACTTTCTGCTAGCAATTCAGAGACCAGATAAAATGTAGTACCATCTTCTAAAGCACCCATAAAATCCATTTGAGAAATGCAGCTTTGTAAATGCAACAGTGAAACAGGACTTTTATCCCAAGCATGTACTAGAAAAAGTGCAAAAGTTGTATTTTTGTGTTTATGCAACCACATATAGCACTACTGTGCAAGTAATATAGATTCTACAGACATGCTAGGTGACTAACTTTGGTGGATAGTATCTGTGTAAGGGATAGAGCAGAGAAGCAGCTGAAAACTTGTCGAAAGGGACTGAAGGCATAGTGGATGCTCCGTCAAGAAACAAAGTCAACAAACGTGGGAATCACCATGCGTGGAGGAGAAATGGGACTGTGTAGGACGTAATTTAAATTCTAAGCGGCACCTCTTAGGTTTACTTCATTGGTAGCTTTTGTGATACAGCATGTTTGCAAGTGGACACTGGTCTAAATCTAAAAGGTCAGCTAGGAGGTAAGGTTAACAAGGAACCAGTAATCAGTGGCACACGGCAATGAGGTTAAGTTCAACAGCTCAGGAAAATGGTAAACTTGAAGAGGTGTATAAATGGATTCCCAAGAGTTTAAAACATCTTTTCACACCAGCTACATAGAAATATCTGAAATGTCAGCACTGGTTAGTTCACCATCTGTGTATCACTACTTTTTCTTCCCCTCCTCCCTCCTTTATTTTAAGGGTTCCTTATGTTGCCAGAAGAAAAATGACTCTCTTAGTATTTTCAGCATGTTATTGGAAAGACAAACTTTAAAGGGCTTTTTCTGTTCCAAATCAGGCTATGTAAAGCATCATTTAATAATACTTAACATTTACTGAGCCTACTTATTAATCATTAAAGAATACTCAACTATCAAAATAATCTGCAGTTAACTGAAATTAAGTAACCACATATTAAAATTACACAGCAATATTGCTCAGCTTTCAGAACAGATGGAAGAATTCAAGCAGTGACTTTGTATACAGTTCATTTCAGCAACTCTAAAATTGTACTGCTATTTTATTTTCAGAAATTCTCTAAGACAGTTCCTGAATTGCACTATACACTGTGCTTAGGTATTCATTGTTGAAACGTACCTTTTTGTTTCAAAATTCTCCTGTGACCTCTATGGATCTGATCTCAGATAAAAAGCTAGAGAAACACATCTTGATTGTAGTGTGGAAGGTCTGCCTAGACTTCTCTCTGCATTGCACCTTACGTTACCAAGTTAAATGAATGTGGCTATCAGAGCAAAAAAGTGGAGAATTTCGCCTGATCTCTTCTGCATTCAACACAGGCTCACTTTCCATATGTATTTGCAACAGCCCAAGGGATAAAGCAGCTTTTTGTCTGTACTTTTTCTACAGGCTAAGCTTTAGTCTGAATGATTGCCTGCTGCACCTTTATAGAATAAAACTTTCAGTAAGGAAGCACACCAGAGTCAAAAACTAGATGTTTTATGCCAGCTTTGTCTACTTTTCGAATCCCCCTTTTCCTGAAAGTACTGAAAACTAAGACCAGTTCAGATGGCTGGCCCCGTGTTCGAATGATTTTTGTAAGAAGCCGTACTAAGATAAAAACTCTTCAACAATAGTTCTGGAAATGTAAACAGTTCCCAGTGGTTCTGGAAATATAAACAGTTCCAAAGTAAATGCAACTGTTTTAACAAATGCTGTGGAGCTGGTCACTAATCTTGGCAATTCATACTTAACAATGCGAGGTATTTGGACTGGGAGATGCAGAGAGCTGCTCTGAGAGCACAGTGCATAAGAACCCGACGTATGCTATAAGAGCGTCCTCCACTTGGAAGGTAACAACCCCGAGAACGCACAAAACTGAACAGCCAGGAGTAGTTAGGGTGCACGTGACGATGAGGAGCAAAATCAAGCCGGACACGTGCACCTCCCGTTCAGAGAAGCGTTACTAGGCTTGAGCAGTGCTTTTAGCTGGCAATTCAAATTTATAGATCATATCTCAAGAAATAACTATATTAAATGTTTTTTTTTTTGTTATTACTCTAGAAAACAGCTGGTCATATAGACTGAATGAACTATATAACAATAGGTAATGGGTGTGAGAACGGATGAGATAAAAGGAAAAAAATCCTTCACATGAAAGTGTTGAAATGCTGGAACAGGTTGCCCGGAGAGGTTGTGGAGGCCATGGAGATATTCAAACGTGGCTAAACAAGATGCTCAGAAAAACAGCATAATTTTGAAGTTGGCCCTCCGTTCAGCAAGTGGTGGGGCCAAACTGACGCCACTGATCCGACCTCCGCAGACTCCTTCCAAACTAAATTATTCTGAGATTGAATGTTTCAGAAGTCCTTGGAAGCAATGACTTAGTTTGTTTACAGAGATACAAAATGTCCACAGGTTGTCTTGATAATAGTATTTAGCCTTCAGGAGGTGAACCAGGGTGGAAATAATGAATACTGACATTCTAATTCTCTTTAAATGTGTCTACCTTTTAATGTGGCATGGCCTATGTACTTTGTTCATTTGGACCTTTGAAGGCAGTAAACACATTTTCTTCTAATGAATCTTTCAAAATTGTGTCTCAATGGTTGGCATTCTGTTCCCATAGAAGAAAGGTGTAATTTTATTTCCACATTCTTTCGATCAGCAGTTATAGAACAAACATGTTCTTCCAGACTTGGGTACCTTTTGGCTCGTTTCGTTAATACCAGCAAAAACTACTTTGCTGCTGATGGAAACTACCTGCCGGGTATATTTGTTTGATGTTGCTTTTGGTAGGGACTGGCATGAAACAAACAGTTGTGCTTTGCTTCATCAATTAATATGCTTTAGAGAGGAGGCATATTGGCTGCTGTTTGACCTTGAAATACAAAGGGTGAGACAAAGAAACAGCTAATATTTTTTATGCCCAGGCGATTGATTCTTCTCTGTTTTGGGCTTACCATTTTGGGGTACCTTAGAAAATAGCAGGGATACTTTCACTGGTAAACAGATTGTTAACCCTAGAGTACATATTCTGCTGAGAGGATAGAAGTGAAACAGGTGTTTTCACAGTAATTTCTAGTACTATTTTTAAACATTTACCATTCAGCGGTATAAAAAGCTCACAGATAGGTTCAGGGCCATTGTAGCAAGCGCTGTACAAACATAAAACTTAACTGCGTTCTTCCTACAAACACATTATAGAGAGCATCCAAAACAGAAGACCATATTGACAAAGAGGGGGCAAAGAAGTAATGAAAAATGAACGAGGAGTAACGCTCTTGCCAAATAAGTGAGCAAGAGTGAGCGTTCATTCCCATACTTCCCCAGCTCGTACCTGCTG